AGAAATCAATTTCTGTCGTTGAAGCCACCCAGTCTGTGGTCTTTTGTTATGGCAGCCTGAGCTGACTGATCCATGGGATATCACTAAACCTCTTCTGAGATGTATGTGAGGTTGGTTCTATTTTTGTAACACCTGGGCAGTCTGAACAGCTAGGACCTCGAAGTGAATTAATAATAATAGTGATAATAATGATAACAGGAATCCTTTACTGAGTGTTTGCAATGGACCCGACACTAAGGGCTTCCCTGCATTAGCTCATCTACTCCTCACACCCACCCAATGATGATGTAGTTCTATTCCCCCATTTACAGATGAAGAAACAGAGGCCCAGAGAGGTTAAGTGGCTCATACAAGGTCACTGCACTGTGCCCAAGCTGGAGCACAACCCAGGTCTCTCTGCATGGGAACAGCACTTACTGGCAACCCAGGAGGACCTCCATCCCCTCACCGTGCAGGACCAAGTGACCTCTAGCCCTGGCCCATTTGGAATCTAGGACACGCTTTCCTTCCTAAGACACTCAATCACCCCCCTAACCCCTCCCTATTTGCTTAGAATACATTGAAGAGATTGATTCCCTTAGCGTATGGCCTTTGTCCCTATGTTGCCTTGTCCCCAACCTCATCATCTTCCAATGACAGCCATCGCCACCTAACTCACCTCCTGCTTTCCTTCTATGTCCCCCTGTCACGCACTTGCCAGACAGTAGCTAGGCTCACCTCTTAAAAACACAAACCAGATCACATTACATCCCTGATTAAAACACTCCACTGACATCCCATGAAACTTAGAATCACATCTCAACTCCTGACCTTGACTTACAAAGCTCTGTGTGATTGGCTATGCCCACCGCTCGCTCCCTCTGCCCCAGAAGCCTTCATTAGTTCCTTGAACGTGCCCAGCTCATTTCTGCCTCAGGGCCTTGGTGCCTGCTGGTCCCTCTGCCTGCAACACTCCTCCACCTGGATCTTCCCGGGGCTGGCTCCTGCTTGTGGTCAGGTCTGAGCTCACAGAGACTCAACTTGAGCACCTTGTTTTAATTCACTACAGAGCCCTAGGTCTACTTAACCGTTATTTTATATTTGTTTATTGTCTGTCTTCTCCTACCCCTAGAAAACAGTCTCCATGAGAGCAAGGACTTTATCTTGTTCGTGGTATCGCCAGAACCTAGAACAGGGCCTGCACACAGTAGACCCTCTACTGTTTGCATAATGAGTAAATGAATGACTGAATGAATAACACAGTCTTCTCAAGGATGGATGAAGATAACCCCCCCAAATGCCCATCGTTCAGCTGTGGCCCTAATTGACACGCTCTCCTCCCACTCTCACCCAAGAATAAGTCCCCTCAGGAACTCAGAGGGCCCCTTATCTCACCATCCAAGCCAGGACCAAGTCTTCAGCCTGCTGTGAAATAAGAACATTTTCAAATGGAAATGTCCTCCCGAAAAGCCGTGGGGTGGGGGTGGTGAGAGTATCTGGAAGAGCATTCCCCCACCCCCACATCCACTGAGGTTCTCCCCTGGGACTCCCACTGTTGCCTAGGAAACGGCTCTGCAAGGAGCAGCGGGCATTAACCCTTCAGCAACCAGGGGCAGCAGCCTGCCTCTGCGGCAGAGGCCCCAAACTTTTCCAGGGAAAGGAGACAAGGCTCTGGCAGGCTCTTCATGGTCCCGCAAACCCGGACATTTATAGTAGTCATGGAGTTGAGGGGCAGAAGGAGGAAACAGGCTGTTGGGCCTCATTCTCCCAGGCAGAAGTCACATACTAGAACCCCACCTGCCCAGGTGCTGGGAGCAAGACATTCCTGAGTCCCTGTGCCCAGTACCTCGTTGGTATCTATCTAGTCTAGGCCTATGGAGGCTTGCGGAGGAGCGGCACCAAAGTGCCCACCCCCTCCCTGACCCTCAGGCCCCTCCCACACCTCCACTGTTCTTGGGACCCCTCACCAGTTAATCCACATTCCTCAGCCCAGTTCACCACATGTGACAGAACAGGGGAAAAGGGACCTTAGCTGAAATCCTGGCTTTCCCACCTATTCATCTGGTACATTAACTTCTTTGCACCTTGGTTCTCTCATCCAGACTTTGAACATCACTGAAAGTGCCCTTGTCAAGGCTGCCAACGGCCTCTGCTGCCAAGTCCATGTTTACTTCTTTGACGTTCCCATAATTTACAGTCCTCTCAACTCTTAACGCCCCACCCCACCCTCAGTCTTCTATTCCCTGTTAATTCTTTCCAGAATTTATTTCTTCCTCAAATCTTATCTATTACTTATTTACTATTTACTTTATTTATTTACTTTACTATTTACTATTATCTATTACATTACTTTTTTTTGGTTCCCTCAAGAGAGAAAGTTCTTTCTCTGCCTTGTTCACCAAAATAACTCCAGGCTTAAAATAATGACTAGCACATGGAAGTTACTTGAGAATGGGTTCTAGTAAAACTAGAGTGAAAAACAAACAAAGAAAAAGACATGGTGTCTTGGGAACAGTGCTTCTAACCTAGGAGGGCAGTAAAGGGAAGTCCCGTGATGACAGCTATGCGGTAACTACTGTAGGCTAGAGCAGGAATAAGAGTCCAGAAGAGCTTCTGGCAGGGAAAAAAAGGGAGGCTTCACACAATAGAGAGTAAAGTTCAGATGCTAAATAACGTTGAGGACTGGAAGGCACGTTATTCTTTGGTCAATGAGAAAAGAAAGGCAATTAGAAACTCCAGGAAAAACAAAAAGTTATTTGAAGAAGTCTTGGACTCAATATTAATATGTGGCATAATTTAGAACCATCAGTGGAGTATAAGAAAAGGAGAAAATCCACTTGGTCTTGCTGCAAAGATCATTCTCATTTCAGTGGCCAGGGATCAAGAGAGCAGACCAATAGCATAGGAAGTATCATCTTAGCAAACTGTTTGGCCCTGAGGAAAATTGTATTTATTTAATGACAACTAATAACATATCCTGAATACTTATATGCCAAACAAGGTTTTAAGAGCTTTGCATATAATATCTAATCCTCACAACTCTCTGAGGTACATATTATCACCATCCCTATTTTACAGATGAGGAAGGTGATGCTTGACATAGTAAATAAGTTTTCTGAGGTCATACAGCTAGTGGAAGAGCTGAACTCACACCCTGTGAGGCCTGTGAGACCCAGAGGTCCACTCCCCAGAGCTGGCCCTAGAAGCCTGGCCATTTGACCTTCAGGCCCCAATCCTTCTTGCCAAGAAGCATAGGATACCATGTGTGCACACATGTATGCACGAATGTACACACACACACACACACTCCTGGGAGCCAGGATGCAAAGCCACAGAGTAACAGGGCTGGTCCAGGCTGGGAAGCCAGAGCAGGGCCTTACCTTCCTGCAGTCTTTGCAGAACACCGATGAGCTGCCCAGGAAGCCCAGCACCTCCCCACAGAGCAGACACTGGGAGAGGCCGTTCCCCATCACATTGCGCCTCATGGTCTCCAGCCGCTCCACCAGCCGCCTGCAGCACAGGACACAGAGTCAGATGGCATGTGCTTCCTGTCTCCAACCAGACCCCTGCCCAGGCGCGGCTGCCATGGGGCCCCAATACTATACCACTTCCTGGGGGTTGGTTCCCTCACCTGGGGTACTGTTCCCTGCCCCATCCCATCCCCTGGCTAACTCCTAATCATTCACTCACTCATCAACCGTTAACTGGGCACCTACAACATGCCAGACACTGGGAATATTGTAGCAAACAAGCCAGAGATGGACACGGTCCCTGTCCTTATGGAATTTATGTTCAAAAAAGAGAGAAAGTCCATAAACAAGCAAACTGACTTCAGAGGGGGGAGTGTTATGAAATAAGATAAGTGGGGCTGGGAGGGAGCAGGGCATGTTAGATGGTGATTAGTGAAGGCCTCTCTGAGGACATTTGAACTGAGAGGTAAAGGATGACAAGGGCCAAACGTGTGAAGAGCTGGGGGCGCATCCCAGGCAGAGGGAACAGCAAGTACAAAGAGCAAGGCCCTGGCGCATTAGAATGGTAAGAAGGCCGGTGGGGGGCTAGACTGCCTGGGATAAAGGAGGCTGGAGGGGTTAGGAGGGGCCAGGTTACACAGGGTTTGTAGGTTGGATTGGTTTTGGAAGTTTGGATTGATTTCTAAGATCAACGCGAGTCCACTGAAGAGTTTTAAGTAGAAGAGTGATCTGATCTAAGTGACATTTCTAAAAGCTCCCTCCAGCTATTGTGGGAAGCTGGGATTACAGGGGGAGTCCGGTGAGGAAGCCGGCAGCAGGCAGCGGGAGGGCTGGGGAAGGAGGACGGAGAGCAGGACGGGCTGTATTTCAGAGTCAGCATGGATGGATTTGGGGGAGGAGAGGTAAGAGAAAGACCCAGGATGGAGTAGAGCCTTTTGGCTTAAACACCTGGGTGGACGGAGAAGCTAGAGGGAGAAAGAGAAAGAGGTCCTCTTTGAACCCCGCTGAGCCCAGGATGGGTGCCTTTCCTCGAGTCCCATGGCCCCCCAGCCCACCGTGACCCGTTTCATGACAACCTGTCATACGACACTGCCACCCCCACAACACAGCCACTTCTGCTTCTGTTTCGTTGGCCGCTGTGTCTCCAGTGCCCAGTGGATTCCCAGTGAAAATTCTTGAATGCATGGAAGACGGGGTGTGGGTACGTTATGTCCTGTAACTCTCACAACCGCCCAGTGCAGAGGATGCTGTTTCCCCCCCACTTTAAAGGTGAGAAGATTGAGGCTCCGAGACGTGAAGTCACTTGCCAGCGTTGCACAGCTCCTCAGAGGTAGAGCCAGGGCCACACTCAGCCCACCCCAAGCCTCACGGCAACTCCACCCTCTCCCCTGGGGTGATCAGGCCCTGCCTGGGGGCCGACGGAGGGCGGACTGGGCGCCGAGGCTGCCTCTGCCCACCTGCCCTGCAGCTGGCACTCCTGACTTCCACAGGAATCGCCGTCCCTCTTCCAGGGACCTGCAGGTTTCCGGGAGCAAAGCCGAGTTCGGCCCTGGCCTGACCCACTTGTTTTTGGGGGACCCCCTCTCCGTACAGCCCTGTGACTCCCACTCATGGAAACACACAGGATGCACCTCCTCCCTCTGAGATGATTCACTGTCTCCTGGGCCATTCCTGCCCCAGCCAAACCCAGCGCTCACAGCCAGGGCCAGACGATGTGAGAGGCACAGGGAAGGCAAAGATGACAGCCCAGATGGATGGGGGCGGGGCGCAAATGCTTCCCACAGCTGCGGGGAGCCCATGGGGGACACCCCTCACCAGCTCTCAGCACGCCCTCCTGGGGGAGCCCGAGGGATGTGGTGCTGGCCCATCAGTCATCAGCACAGGCACCTCGGAGACCTGCAGAGCCTTGCAGGACCCTTGGGCTAGGCCTGAGAGAGGGAGGGGCCCCAGCCAGGTGTGGTAGGGAGAAAAGAGCAAAAGACAATTAGTCTGTCAGATACAAACCCTTTTTGTAATGAAATGGTAGTAATATGTCAGTATTACGGAGGCACAGACAACAAACTGTTTGGACAGCAGTGGTCTTTGTAGTGGTGCTTTCACTTTCTAGAACTGTGCATTTCTACAATGTCTGACTTTTTAAAAATGATCATCTATTTAATAGAAAAAAATAAATAGAAAAAGAACAAGGAGACCAGAATCAAATTAATTCCTGCCAGTGCCCTGCATTTATGTTTTCCTCCTCGTGCCTGCCTGTGTTTTTCAGATTGTCTAGGAAGTATAAATTGCTTTTGTAATTAAACAAAAAAAAAAACCACAACAAAACTGAAGACTATGTAGGAGACAGCTCTGGATGCCGGAGGCCGGAAGAGCTTAGATTAAGCTGGAGAGCGGCTCCTGTTGGTCTTTGATGGGAGAACCCACAGTTCAGCCTCCACGTCAATCCCTCCCCTGGCTGAACCACAGCGACCCTCCTTTGTGCAGAGCTAAACAGACCTTAACGTGTTTGACGGCACTCATTCATCCTCCCCACAGCTTGGGGCCCACACATCAGCCGCTATCCCCATCTTACAGAGGGGTATACTGAGGCTTGGACAGGCTGGGTTAGGAATCTGCACGCCAGGGGCGTTCAGGCAGAGCTGACTCACTCCCAGTGAAAAGCTGGAACTAGGAGCCAGGGCGCCAGACGCCCAGCCCACTGATCTGGCACTAAATGCCCTGCTTCCCTGTCCACGGCCTCACTCCTGCCCCATCTTGGGAGCAGCCCTTACCCGACTCTCTGCTGTTCCAGGACGTCAAGCCGCTCGGCCCTCTGGATGACCTGCAGGATGGCCTCCACCTCGGCTGGGCTGAGGCACTGGCTCTTCCTCTGCTTCTCTGTCTGGTAGGTGTGCACAGACCAGCCCGTCTGCAGCCTTGAGAGAGAACAACACAGAAGTGCAACCCCAGTGCAAACTGGCATCCCCGCCACATCCACAAAGGTCCCCTGAGCACAGTCTGTGTGTCAGGGGCAAGGGGTTCAGACACCAGCCTCCAAACGCTGCCTCTGCCACCCGCCAGCTCCCGGCTCCCACAAGGATGGCAGCACCCCCTTAGCACCTCGGGGGGGTTGGGGGGAGACAGGAGCATGGAATGCACAGAAGGCCACGGACACAGCATGAGCGGTTTCAAGGGAACAGCACAGAAGATGACCAAGAGAAGAATGAACACCCGGATCTGAGTTGTACAAGAAAGTGAGATGGAGTTTACTATGGGACAGGAAAGACTGGTAATTAGGTTAAAAACAAGCGCTGAGGATAAAAGGATATTCACGCAGCATTCTGAAAACTAGAGGGATCCAGGGCAGGAGGTTACCCTGGAGGAGCGGTGAGGGCCGGCCAGTGTGGCGAGGTGGGGCTGGGGCCCGGCCCAGAGCCCCAGGACTGAGGGGAAGAACGCCAACCCATTCTATTTTTCTGGATGGTGAGAGTGGCAGCAGTAGACCGAGCCCCAACTCCCTGCCCTGGGGCCCAGCTTCTCCCAGACTTTCTGCGCCAGGTGGTGGGAACACAGAGACGGACAAGGTGGCAAGGTCACTGCCCTCCAGAACTACAATATTCTGGGGGAGACGGATGCCCGATCAGTTACAAAAATAGTTATTTACTGAAAAATTCGGAGAGCCATTCATTCAATACCTATTTATTGAGGATCCACTGTGATGCCAGGCTCGCTAGGTGCTGGGACGAGCCACTGGGCAGGCCACGCGGGTGGTCGTGAGGAGGATGTACAAATAAGGGGAACTGACCCAGGCAGGGGAGCAGCTCTAGAAGGGCTCCCCTAAAGAAGCGGCAGCAGGCAAGAGATTGTGACACAGGATACAGGGCAGGAAGATGAGGGTGTGGATGCCTTCCTAGTGGTTCCCTGAAACGGATGGACACTGGTGGTCTCACGTCACCACCCAGTCCAGCTCTTGCATCCAAGCACTGCCGACACTGTATAAATTGGGAGAGCTAAAAAGCATGTCCTTTCTCTGTGAGTAGAGAGAAAGCCATCCCAGGCTGGTTAAGGTGAAGGACTCAGATTCTGAAGTCCAATGGGTGGTCTCATCTTATGGCTCTGTCCCTTCCCAGGTATGAGAACTTGGATAGCTGCTCATCCTTGATTTCTTGATCTGTCTCTTTAAGGGATGCCAGGAAGATGAAATAAGGAGGGTATATAAAGTGCTCTGTACATAGCAGATGCCCAGTTGCTGAATAAGTGGCAGTGATGATTTTTATAATGATCATGGGTGAGACCATTAGGAACAGCTTAACCAAAGAGGTAGCATTTGCACTGGGTTTTGCAGGATGAATAGGAGCTCCCCCAATGGAAGCAGGGAGCTGGCATTCAGGCAAAGGACACTGAACATGCAAAGGCACGCAGGCATAAAGAAATGTGCTGCATTGGAGAGGTCCAGACTTCTAGACTGCCTATTTCTCCAATTTAAAAAAATGCCTTGGTACAAACTACTATGTATCAAATAAATAAGCTACAAGGATATAGTGTACAGCACAGGGAATAGAGCCAATAATTTTTACAATAACTTCAAATGGAGTATAATCTATAAAATATTGAATCACTATGTTGTACACCTGAAACTAATATAATACTGTAAATCGACTATACTTCAATTTTAAAAAATACCTTGCCCTAGACTAATACTTTTTTAAGTGACCCTCACAGAGCTGAGGAAAGCAAAGAATGGGAACGGGGCAGGACTGGTGGGGACAGGAAGGGAGGCCAGGCCTTGGAGTGGGCAGGGGTACACATTCACCTGTCCCTGGCTGTGGGAATCTGTAACACTCTCCTTTAAGGAGCCAGGCATTACAAGGCAGCACACCCCGGGGAGGAGATAAAAGCATTTACTCTTCTAAAACGTGCTACGGGCTTCCCTGGTGGCGCAGTGGTTAAGAATCCGCCTGCCAATGCAGGGGACATGGGCTCGAGCCCTGGTCCGGGAAGATCCCATGAGCCGTGGAGCAACTAAGCACGTGTGCCACAACTACTGAGCCCGCGTACCGCAACTACTGAATCCCACGCACCTAGAGCCCGTCCTCCGCAACAAGAGAAGCCACTGCAATGAAAAGCCCGCGCACCACAACAAAGCATAGCCCCCGCTCGCTGCAACTAGAGAAAGCCCGCATGCAGCAACGAAGACCCAACGCAACCAAAAATAAATAAATAGATAAAAGGTGCTACAACAGTTTCTGGCTGCTGCTGAGCGCAAGACCAGGTCACAGAGAGCCAAAGGGAATGCCGGCGGGGTCACCAGGGGTCACACCGGGCCCTCCTACAAGAGCACAGCTCTCGCCAGCTCCTCACATCCAGCCACGGAGGACGCATCATCTCGCCTGGTGTCAGAGGAGAGAGGGAGAGAGGACGGTTTCACCCCTGGTCTCTCCCCCACAGGGGCCACATGGGGGCTAAAAGAGCCGAGCTATCCCAGTGAGTGAGACAAATTAACTGTGGTGCAAAGAGTCCTGCAAATCACGCAGGACTCCACTCTTCTTGGGCATTTCAGATTAATTTTTCTATCCTCTTTTGATGTTTCAGCTCTGTCCCCTGCAGGCTCACAATGTTTAATTGCAAATTTCTTGAACTTGGTTCCATTTGGGAAATGCTGGCTCCTGTACCCAGCATGACTTGACAGATGAAGAGGCACTCTTGGGCTTATTTGACCCCAGGGACCCCCAACTCCCTGGAGGGACAGGAAGAGGCTGGAAGGCTGGAGAGGCATCTGGGAGCCCCTGGTCTCCAGCCACGGAGGGGGGCAGTGGGTGGAGATGGGCTGATCTAACTACAGCCGAGGGGTCACCAGGCTGAGAGATAACAGGAAAACTGGGGGCAAACCAGAACAAGAGAGACCCTGACACGAGCATGGCAGAGACCTGGGATGCTTCAAGGCTGGTTGTGTGTTTCAGCCCAGAGGGCAGCTCTTCATAAATTAGACAAGCCTTTGGTCTGTCAACTCAACTATGAAGTGGGCACCCAGAGATCAAAGGCTCCCCGCTGCCAGGGACTCAGGGACTGAAGGCTCAGTGATGGGGGATTTATACTCTTAACAGAGAAGGTAAAGGAAGTGGCCTGGCTCCCTGGAGCCTATTGTGATCGAAGGAACATAGGTGTGGGGTCAGATGGACCCAGGGGAGTCCCAGCCCTGCCACTGACAAGGTGGGTGACTTGGGTGAGGACCTCAGCCTCACTGTCCTCATCTGAGAAATGGGAATACATTCCATACGGCAGTTAAATGAGTGAATGGCTGTTAGGCGCCCAGCTCAGCGCCAGGAGTGTGGTGTGTATTAGACGGGCACTTGTCTCCAAACTGCTCTTTCTGGGGGCCTGGGATTGAATCTTGTCAAAGAAAGGAGAGGAACTAGGAGCGGGGAGGGAAGGCAGGGCCCGGCCAAGCCCTAGAGGTACTCACTTGGCTCGCAGGGCAAGCTGCCGATCACTGGGGCAAACCCACTGATAATTCCCGCTGCCGAAGATGGTGTCGGCCATGACTTGGAACACCCAGCCAGGGTGTGGAGTCACGTCTGAGGGGAGAAGAGGGAAGAAGAAAGGGCATGTCATTGGCTGGGGTACAGATGGCAGACAGGGTCCCTCAGACACCCAAAACCGGTACTTCCAACCTATCCCTGTCCGTTGCCGGCCCCTGCCCCATCCCCACCCCGTCCCCGAGGATGTCTGGAATCTCACCAGCAGAATCACTCCTCCAGCTAAATGCTATTCCCTCAAAGCTCCTCTTTCAAAAGACTCGTGATTCTGGGAGGGGTAACTAGGTGGATCACGCAGCTGAGTGACAAGGTTGGACTTGACCGGCAGGATGTCAAAGGGACAGAATCGGAAGGAGAAAAGAGGCACACCTCAGCAGTTTTCAACGTAGCGGGCAAGCCCCAAGGGCGTTTGATCCCTGCACCCTCCAAGTACTACCCCTGCTTTGCTTCATGGGGACCACGATGAAAATGGCCCCCCTGGGAATCCTGCAGGGAGGAGACCCTGCTCCAGAGCTTGCTGGGGGCTTAACTTGTGCAGCCTAGCTTAGCTGGCTTTCTCCTTGCCACCAAGGATGTGTGCTGGTGGGGAGAGTAAGGAGGGGAAGAGAGAGGGATGAGTTTGAGGGAATCCCAATCCCAGAGCAAAGACGAGGGTTAGTACTGAGTTATCCACACTCCCCTGGTCTAATCCCCTCCAGCCCAGTGGTTCTCAAACCCAGGACTCCCTTACACTCTTAAAAATCACTGAGGCTGGAAATTAGTCTGGCAGTTCCTTAAATGTTACACAGAGTTACCATAAGACCCAGAAAGGACCCTGAAGTATAAACACAAGAGAACAGAAAACGTATGTCCACGTATGAAACTGTACATGAATATTCACAGCAGCCATTATTCATAACAGCCAAAAAGTGGATACAATTCAAATGTCCACTAACTGATGAATGGATAAAACGTGTACAATGGAATATTGTTTGGTCATAAAAGGGAATGGAGTGCTGACACAGGCTCCACAACATGGATGAACCTTGAAAACACACTAAGCAAAAGAAGCCAGTTACAAATGACCACATAGTGTAGGTTCTATTTCTATAAAATGTCCAGACTGGGCCGATCCACAGAGACAGAAGGTAGATTAGTGGTTGCCAGGGGCTGGGGGTAGAGGGGAGGAAGGAATGGGAGTGACTGCTAACGGGCTCAGGGTTTCTTTTTTGGATGATGAAAATGTTCTGGAATTAGATAGTGGTGACGGTTGCATAACTTTGTGAATTCACTGAAACCACTGCACTGTACCCTTTAAATGTCTGAATTTTATGGTACGTGAACTACATCTCATTAAACTGTTATAAAAAATTCTTGAGAACGCCAAAGGATATGGGCCATATCTATTGAGATTTACCATATTAGAAATTAACACTGAGAAAAAATTTTAATTGTCAATTCATCAAAAAATAATAAACCCATGAGATGCTCACATATTTTATTGAAAAACTGTATTTTCAAAACAAAAACAGTTAGTGAGAATAATGGTATTGTTTTGCATTTTTACAAATCTATGTAATGTTTGGCTAAACAAAAGTCAGCTTCATATCTGACATTTCATTCAATCTTTTGTGATACGTAGATTTGTTAAAGTACATGAAGGACATCCAGACTCTCACAGCTACATGCTATAGCTGGGAAAGGGTGGAGTATTTTAATAGCCTTCCCAGATAACTGTGGACATTCTTTCACACTGTACCCAAACTCAACAGACGGTAGTTTCTTAAAGTTTAGTTCCAATGTGGCATTCATGCCAATGAACTTTTCACCTGTATATTTGTGAGAGAACTTGACCAAGTGTATTATTAAAATAGTCTTTACTTTGTGGACCCCCCGAAAGGCGTTGGGAACCCCCAGAGATCCCTGGACCGTAGTTTGAGAACTGTTGTTCTAGACCAATGTCACCTATTTCTGTGATGACCAGCAGGGGGCAGCGTGCAGACTGCAGCTAACTGACCCACTGAGGGACCAAGCCCACTACCTTGACCACAGTGGGCTCTCTATTCCACTCAGCTGATCCAGGCACCCACTCCCCACTGTCAGCCGCCTTGAGAGCGAGACCTGAGTTAACCCAGGCCCCAAAGAGTCGCATGTGGAGTCCCCACGGCCAGGCCCAGTGCTGGGAGGGCTGCTGGTGCCACCGTCACCAAAGGCCTCCCCACATTTAAAGTCTTGACCTTCTCCCAAAGGAGACTCACATCCAGTCCAGGAAAAAAAAAGGTGGGCTCGAAAATGACACGCTCATCAAACAACTTTAAACCAGTCCCATTTCAGCTACGATTTGTTTTTTTTTTTTAGTTTATGACTCTTTGCCTACGTGGCTTTTTTTTTTTTTTACATCTTTATTGGAGTATAATTGCCTTACAATGGTGTGTTAGTTTCTGCTTTATAACAAAGTGAATCAGTTATACATATACATATGTTCCCGTATCTCTTCCCTCTTGCGTCTCCCTCCCTCCCACCCTTCCTATCCCACCCCTCCAGGTGGTCACAAAGCACCGAGCTAATCTCCCTGTGCTATGCGGCTGCTTCCCACTAGCTACCTATTTTACGTCTGGTAGTGTATATATGTCCATGACACTCTCTCACTTTGTCATAACTTACCCTTCCCCCTCCCCATATCCTTAAGTCCATTCTCTAGTAGGTCTGTGTCTTTATTCCTTTCTTACCCCTAGGTTCTTCATGATGTTTTTTTTTCCCTTAAATTCCATATATATGTGTTAGCATACGGTATATGTCTTTCTCCTTCTGACTTACTTCACTCTGTATGACAGACTCTAGGTCCATCCACCTCATTACAAATAGCTCAATTTCGTTTCTTTTTATGGCTGAGTAATATTCCATTGTATATATGTGCCACATCTTCTTTATCCATTCATCCGATGATGGACACTTAAGTTGTTTCCATCTCCTGGCTATTGTAAATAGAGCTGCAATGAACATTTTGGTACATGACTCTTTTTGAATTATGGTTTGCTCAGGGTATATGCCCAGTAGTGGGATTGCTGGGTCATATGGTAGTTCTATTTGTAGCTTTTTAAGGAACCTCCATACTGTTCTCCACAGTGGCTGTACCAATTCACATTCCCACCAGCAGTGCAAGAGGGTTCCCTTTTCTCCACACCCTCTCCAGCATTTATTGTTTCTAGATTTTTTGATGATGGCCATTCTGACTGGTGTGAGATGATATCTCATTGTAGTTTTGACTTGCATTTCTCTAATGATTAGTGATGTTGAGCATTCTTTCATGTGTTTGTTGGCAATCTGTATATCTTCTTTGGAGAAATGTCTATTTAGGTCTTCTGCCCATTTTGGGATTGGGTTGTTTGTTTTTTTGTTATTGAGCTGCATGAGCTACTTGTAAATTTTGGAGATGGATCCTTTGTCAGTTGCTTCATTTGCAAATATTTTCTCCCATTCTGAGGGTTGTCTTTTGGTCTTGTTTATGGTTTCCTTTGCTGTGTAAAAGCTTTGAAAAGTTTCATTAGGTCCCATTTGTTTTTATTTCCATTTCTCTAGGAGGTGGGTCAAAAAGGATCTTGCTGTGATTTATGTCATAGAGTGTTCTGCCTATGTTTTCCTCTACGAGTTTGATAGTTTCTGGCCTTACATTTAGGTTTTTAATCCATTTTGAGCTTATTTTTGTGTATCGTGTTAGGGAGTGATCTAATCTCATACTTTTACATGTACCTGTCCAGTTTTCCCAGCACCACTTATTGAGGAGGCTGTCTTTTCTCCACTGTACATTCCTGCCTCCTTTATCAAAGATAAGGTGACCATATGTGCGTGGGTTTATCTCTGGGCTTTCTATCCTGTTCCACTGATCTATATTTCTGTTTTTGTGCCAGTACCATACTGTCTTGATTACTGTAGCTTTGTAGTATAGTCTGAAGTCAGGGAGCCTGATTCCTCCAGCTCTGTTTTTCGTTCTCAAGATTGCTTTGGCTATTCGGGGTCTTTTGTGTTTCCATACAAATTGTGAAATTTTTTGTTCTAGTTCTGTGAAAAATGCCAGTGGTAGTTTGATAGGGATTGCATTGAATCTGTACATTGCTTTGGGTAGTAGAGTCATTTTCACAATGTTGATTCTTCCAATCCAAGAACATGGTATATCTCTCCATCTATTTGTATCATCTTTAATTTCTTTCATCAGTGTCTTATAATTTTCTGCATACAGGTCTTTTGTCTCCTTAGGTAGGTTTATTCCTAGATATTTTATTCTTTTTGTTGCAATGGTAAATGGGAGTGTTTTCTTGATTTCACTTTCAGATTTTTCATCATTAGTGTATAGGAATGTCAGAGATTTCTGTGCATTAATTTTGTATCCTGCTACTTTACCAAATTCATTGATTAGCTCTAGTAGTTTTCTGGTAGCATCTTTAGGATTCTCTACGTATAGTATCATGTCATCTGCAAACAGTGACAGCTTTACTTCTTCTTTTCTGATCTGGATTCCTTTCACTTCCTTTTCTTCTCTGATTGCTGTGGCTAAAACTTCCAAAACTATGTTGAATAAGAGTGGTGAGAGTGGGCAACCTTGTCTTGTTCCTGATCTTAGTGGAAATGCTTTCAGTTTTTCACCATTGAGGATGATGTTGGCTGTGGGTTTGTCATATATGGCCTTTATTATGTTGAGGTAAGTTCCCTCTGTGCCTACTTTCTGGAGGGTTTTTATCATAAATCGGTGTTGAATTTTGTCAAAAGCTTTCTCTGCATCTATTGAGATGACCATATGGTTTTTCTCCTTCAATTTGTTAATATGGTGTATCACATTGATTGATTTGCGTATATTGAAGAATCCTTGCATTCCTGGAATAAACCCCACTTGATCATGGTATATGATCCTTTTAATGTGCTGTTGGATTTTGTTGAGGATTTTTGCATCTATGTTCATCAGTGATACTGGCCTGTAGTTTTCTTTCTTTGTGACATCCTTGTCTGGTTTTGGTATCAGGGTGATGGTGGCCTCGTAGAATGAGTTTGGGAGTGTTCCTCCCTCT